TTCTTGAATATTATTAATAATGCAACCAATCTAATTGATATGGATAATTGATTAAATTTACTTTTTTTGATAACTAAATTTTTGGAGAAAATGTAAGAAAAATTTATACAAATTTTTCTATATACTTAAATTATATAATTTAAGTATATAGAAAGATTTCTGTAAATTTTTACTATTTTTTCAAATGATACAATTTGTAGCAAATTTAGTATGTCTATAACTGAAATATAATTGAACAAAAACAAGAACAAATAATTTCGTAGAAAAAAAAAAATGTGTTTTTCAAACATTTTTTTTTAAAGCTTTTTTAAAGTTTAAAATGTGTTTTTCAAACACATTACAAACTTTTAACTTTGTTTTAATCATAAAAAAAAAGTAGTATTCATTTACATATTTGTTATAATGTTGATTTAAGTGTTAATAGGTTTCGTTTGCCATCATCATCAACAAACTTCATGGTGAAAAAAATGCTACTCGCTATTTTAATTTATATAAAATTTCAAGGTAAAATATTTATAAATATGTAGTATTTATTATTATGAATTATAAAATTTTTATTATTACTTATTTTTTTTTTTTTTTTTTTTTTTTTTTCAGATTGTTTTGAAAGATATTTTGAACTTTAAGTCAAAAAGATTTCACTTAATTAAAATAAAAAAGACAAAAAATAATGTAAAAATATGTTAAAAATTGCAACTTTTTGTAATTTTGAAATTGCTGTTCGTTAAATAGACATCCATCTCAAGCTAATATATCTTAATTTTTATTAAGTTCAGGTTATGGTAATACTTCATTTAAATATTCACTATGCATTAATATGTTAATGCATTAAGATAAACTAGCTGACCAGTCCCGTAAAAACCCGGGTCTTTCTAAGTCTATATATATATATATATATATATATATATATATATATATATATATATATATATATATATATATATATATATATATATATATATATATATATATATATATATATATATATATATATATATATATATATATATATATATATATATATATATATATATATATATATATATATATATATATATATATATATATATATATATATAGCATTAAATTCGATATTAAAGTATTATAGGATTTTTATAAAACGCATTTTTTCATCTAATTTTATACACAGTTGAATCCCGTACTCGGACCTTGGATAAGTCGGCATTTTACTAAGTCGGACGGAATTTCAATTCTTCTTGATAATTCTCTTTCAACTTACTGTAAAATCATCGGCTTAAGTCGTACCCTGCTTAAGTCTGACCATTTGCAAACTCGTACTGTTTTTTGAGGTCCCCTTCGGCAAAAAATTTTTCTTAACTAGAACTTTTGTTTGAATTGTGTATAAGTATAAAATTAAAACTTTAAACGCTTAAAAATAAAATATTTTACATAAAATGTAATTAAACATAGCTAAACTTTTTCACGGAGATCTTTTGATTCAGTTATGCTCCGATGGAATTTTATTTGTTAATAACTATTCAATAGTTACTGACGTTATAAATTAATGACGTAATACGTAAAAAATTCAAAAATATCAATCAAATTTGCGTCAAACTTATTTTAACAAACTAAATATTTTCACTGATATCTTCGATTCGGTTATACTTCAGTCAAGTTTTATTTACTAAAAATGTTGAAAGTTGCTAAGGAAAGCTATCAAGTAGAACTATAACAAAAAAATACAAAATACTAAAAGAACTCGACAAAGGAGAATCATCTGTATATCAAAAAAATATGACATTCTAAAGCAAACATTGTCTGAATGGTCAAAATAAAAAAACACAATATATTCAAAAGTTGAAAAAAAATAAACTTCTGCAAAAAGAGTGCGGATGCGTGTTTTCCTATATGAGGATTTAGACAAAGGATGTTGTATGTGGCTTTTAAACACTCGAAACCAAAAATTCCTGCGTCTGGAGCCATTTTCAAAGTCAAAGCATGGCATTTTGCAAAAGAACTTGGTTGTGACAACTTTTAAGCATCCAATAGTTGGTTAGATAAATGAAAAATAAGAAATGTACTGTTTAAAACAAGGCATTTTATCATTTTTCATTGATATTTACATTATTTTTAGTCATTGGTTTTTTTTTTTTTTTAATTATCTTTGCTTCCAACAAGGCTGCAAGCAACCACTAATTAGTGTTGGAAGTTACTGGAAGGGAAAAGATAAAGATTGTAGAGCAAGATAACGATTGACAGACGACTTAAAAGATTGCAAATTGTATGAATCAGGAAAGCAAGACGAAGGAAGCGAATTCCAAAGAACTGATGTTCGAGGAAAAAAACTAGACGAATAAGAGTTTTTGGAGCACTTAGGAACAGTAACAGAAAAAGGATGAGACTTAATTGAATGACGAGTAACACGAGAATGAATTTTAATAGATAGCACAAGAGATGCTAGCTCTTTCGAGAAGTGATCATTATAGTATTTGTAGAAAAGAGAAAGAGAAGCAACATTACGACGATGTGACAGAGGTTAAAAGTTGGCTGCAAGAGCAGGTCCAACTATGTTTACAATGCGTTTTTGCACCTTGTCTAAAAGAGAAAGGAAATCATTAGAAGATCCGCCCCAGATATGGCAACAGTATTCCATACGAGGCCGGATTTGAGATTTATAGAGATGGAAAATAGAATCCAGAGTAAGAAAGTGACGAGTTCGATAAAGAAAAGCGACTTTAGCAGATGCTAATTTTGCAAAGAATTTGATATAAGGTTTCCAAGAAAGATCAGAAGTAAGAGTTAATCCTAGAAGATGAAGGGTAGGAGACTCATCGAGTACATTACCGTTCATAAATATAGGAAGGTCTAAATTATTGCGATAACGATTGGCCAAAAAAAATTGTGTTTTATCTGAATTAAAGTTCACCAGCCACTGTGAGCCCCATGCTGCAGCAGAAGTGAGATCATTTTCAAGCTCAGATGCCCCCTGCAAGCAATCAGAGGGAGTTGGCTTCTTATCGTGACAAGAATAAATGGTAGTATCATCAGCGAACAATGCCACCTTAGATGTGAGAATACCTGGAAGATCGTTAATGTAAATTAAAAAGAGTATAGGGCTAAGGATTGAACCTTGGGGAACCCCTGAGGTTACAGAATAAGAAGAAGAGTGCTGTCCATCAAGGACAACTTATATACTACGATTGGAATAAAAGGATTCAATAATCTTGAAGATGTTTCCAGATACACCGTAAGAAGAAAGCTTATGGAGGAGACCAGCATGCCAAACTTTATCAAACACTTTAGAAATGTCAAGAGCAATGGCCTTAACCTTTCCACCTTTATCTAATGCGCGATAAAACCTATCGGTTATTACTGATAGCAAATCAGCCGTAGAACGAGAAGATCGAAATCCATATTGATGATCAGAAAGTAGGTTATGAGATTCTTGATGAGAGATTAAGTGTTTGTTAATTAAAGATTCAAAAACCTTGCTTATGATAGGAAGAAGACTAATGGGACGGTAGTTAGACGAATCGGATCGCTCTCGAGAATTTTTAAAAATAGGGATAACAGATGCTGCTTTCCAGCAGGCTGGAAAACAAGAATCTGATAAGCACTTGTTAAATAGTTTTGAAAGGATAAGGATACTATAACAGGTATGTTGTCCGGGCCGCAAGCTGTAGAAGAGTCTAAGCAGGAAATCACTTTAGATACAGAAGCTGAAGTGATACGAATGTCGAGCAATGTATCAACCTGTTTGACGGCTAAATCAGGTAGAACGCAACTAGTGGCATCAAGAGATGATATTGATGAAATGTTCTTGGCAAACAATTCAGCTTTAGGTGAGGTGACAAAGTCTGAACCATACAAAAGAGGTGGAATTACAGACTTGCCCTTATTATTGATACTATTAAATATTCTCCAGAAGTCACGAGAGCCTAATTTTTGTAATGAAATACGAGATTTCATGATCTGAGAATAGCGGGCTTTGGCCTTAGACAAAACCTTTTTACAATGGTTCCTAGCAGTAATAAACAAACGTCTGTTTTCTGGAGAATTGTTTTGCTGAAAGATATGGAAGTAATGGTTTCAATTGGCAATTGTAGCAGCACAATGTGAGGAAAACCATGGAGAAGAGTAAGGCTTGACCTGGAATCGTCGAGAGGGAATAAAGGATTCCATGTCAGCCTGAATCCACGAAGTTATGTAAGAAGCACATTTTTCAACAGGGAGACGAAAGATTTCTACCCAGGGGCCATCACGAAGAATATCACGGAAAGAGTCCCAGTCAGCTTTAAGGTAGTTGTAAGATGTACGATGATAGGGGGATTCTGATGGTAAAGAAGAATGAGATAATAGTATTAGAGATACCAAACCATGATCAGAAGCACCTAAGGGTGAGTGCAAAGTAACTGAGCACTGACTACGATCAGAAACAAGACATAAGTCGAGTAGAGAATGTAAATGATTCGGGTTGTCTGGAAAGCGAGTTGGAAAGTTGACTATTTGAGTTAGGGATTGAGAAAGACAAAAGTTGTGGGCCTTTATGCCTGCAGAGTCACTGACACTAGAGCCAAGCCATTCAGTGTGATGAACATCTGAATGGCTTGGACAACAACAATATTGTTGATGTCACCGACATCAACAATATTGTTGTTGTTGGTGACAAAAAGTCACCGACAACAACAATATTGGCTGATGGATAAAGAATGAGGGCTTGGCAATATTATCAGAAATAACATCAAGAAGAATGCAGTCTTGAGGTGAGGGAGAGCGATATAGAACAAAGAGAAAGGTGATAGAGTGAAGTGGTGCTAAACGAAAGCACATGAAAGAGTAGTCTGTGGATTCAAACCTAGTTTCTTGACAAATTGGTGAATTCTTACAAATGTAAATACCCAGGCCAAGCATGTGACTATTGGAGTCTTTACGAATTAAAAGGAAGATAACCATCAACACTAAGATCACAAGATGAGACAGCTGAACTCAAAGTAGTCTCACAAAGAGCAAGTAGGTCTGGTGAACTTTGCAAGATATAAGATTCAACAGAAGAAAAGTTACTTCGAAGAACACGAAGTGGTCTTAAAAATAATAATAGGCATGGAACTCTCATTTCTATTCTATCGCCTATAAACCAATAAATTATCAGTCCAGTTCTTTGGTTTTAAATTTTTTAAAGTCATTATCACGTTTTGGCCCACTTCATGAAAATAAAATAAAGTCCTAAATTATTGCCAGTAAAATTTATGCTACTTTTAAAGTTGTTTTTCTTATTTTTCATCGGTGAAAGTCAAAATTTCACTAATTTAGCATAAGGTAGCATTGGTTATTGATAATTGCACTGCACATCCAAGTATTGAGAATCTTAAATCCGTTTCTATGTCCTTTCCCCCCCCCCCCCCCCTTTCCCTAAATACGACAATATTTGCAGTTGATGGATCAAGGAGTCAATAGATCGTTGAAGTGAATGTACCGAACTGATTTAATTAACAAGATCATAAATGCAATTGATAACGGAAAACAAAGGCCTTAAATCTTTATACTTAATGCTTTAAAAATACTTATTCATTCTTGAAATAAAGTTTTAGAAACCACTATTATTAAATGGATTAAAGAAAGAAGTAGGAGTACCAGACGAAGATTAAGAATACTTCCATGCAATAAAAAATTCAATTGATCAGTTACGTCAGCATATTACGTCAATATGATATAAAAGTCAGTTAAAGTTGTTAAATTATATAGTTTTTATAACAAATTTGAAGTTGAGTATTTTTATGCATTTGGCAATTTGTAACAACAAACTTTTGAGTATTATTGGAATCCAATAATTTATTCAATTACAAGGTAGTATATTGAAATTTACCGTTTTCTTTTGACTATGGTTATACAAATAAATAAAATTTAACTAAAACTATGGTGCAGAGACAAAAAAAATTTTTATAAATTTACATAAAGTTAATATTTATCTAAACATTCAATTATATACAGGTAAACCAACAAAAGTAACTTTAAATTCTTTTAACAATTCACAAAAAAAAACTTTTTCTTTTCTCATTCATCTGCCTTTTCTTCTTAATTGGTCTCTTCCTTATTATTATATTTTAGTAAAGTTAAAATTTAGTAAAAACAAAAAAGTTTACAAAAAACAACTTTATATTTTAGAAAAAATGGTTTACTTTAATTGACTGTTTAGGTTTTATTTTTTTTAGTGTACACATATATACATACCTACATACATATATGTATATATATATATATATATATATATATATATATATATATATATATACATATATACATATATATATATATATATATATATATATATATATATATATATATATATATATATATATATATATATATATATATATATATATATATATATATATATATATATATATGTATATATGTATATATATATATATATATATATATATATATATATATATATATATATATATATATATATATATATATATATATATATATATATTTATAAACAGGATTTTTGGCAAATGATCAATTTCCTCTGAAAGAATATTGGAACATTTCAAATCTTATATGGAATATAGAAACATCAGAGTTCTTGTGTCAGTCGAATAGTTTTCCAATGTGCTGCAGCTGTAGCAGTACTTGCTTTTTATATAAGACATGCTGCATTGACATTTATTGGAACAAAAATGATCCACTGCCATTATTTAAATATATGGATAAAATTGTAAATACATCAAAAACTGTTAAAGACGCAGTGTGTGAAAGTTTAGCATTTAATGGTTATAACCAAGGTCACTTTAGTGCAAGTTATATGATGGTTCACTCATGTTTAAAGGAAGCAAATATTGAAGATAAATATCAGTGTACCAACATAAGTACTGAAGATTTATTTCAAAATATACCTGTCATTGGATCTGATAAATTACTTTATAGAAATGCTGCATGTGCAAAATGTAATTTTGCAAGCTATGAACAGGTTAATTTGACAATACAATGTTCGGGAATAAAATCTGGTATTAATTTAGGAACAAACCTGAAACCTGAAAATAAAAATAAATGGCTAGATATTTTAGAAGAGTACAAAGGTTGTTCTACTGATATAGAGAAAAATGGATACATTGAAAAGTATATACTACCATGTGGTGTAGAAGACACTCAAAATGACTTCGTAAAAAGTTGTCCCATTGGAAATCCGTATCACAATTTATGCAATTCATATTCGGGAAAACTTAATATAAACAATAAGATATATAAAAATTTTGACTGTTATAAATGTGCTAATAATAATCTGGGAAATCTAAATGAAGATCATTTTATATGCCGGCAACCGCCACCTATTTTCGAATCCAATGAATGGGGGGAAATGAATTGGGCTGTTTTAATTAATATCAACAACAAATCAAAAGTCAAAAAATCATATAAGTTTAACTCTCCTGACAGCGCTTTCAAATGCAGCGATGGATATATCCTCGACACTTTTACTAATAAATGCGAAAAAAGTGAAAAAGAAAATAAAAACAATAACTTAATTTCGTATGACTCTTCCTTATTAAAATGTCACTGGAATAGTTATTTGCACAATGCTGGATTTGAAAGCTTTAATGACTGCTTGTTTTCACAACAACCATCGTTATTTTTATTTGTAAATGATACATCTAATTTAACAGCTGTAAATGAAATGTTTTTGGAAGCAATAAATTCCTCCCTCGTTATCTCTTCGAGTAAACTAAAAAAAGCAAACAAAATTATTTTCAGAACAAACGAAACTTTTACATACGAAAAACTACAATCTTTTCGAAAACATCAATCGACCATTTTCAGTTATGCAACTTCAGTGTTCATTTCGTCGATAAAAAATCAAGAAATCACCGAAATGTATGGATTTGATTTAACTAGAAGTTATAAAAATAAAAGAGTTTGTGCGCAACCAGAAACTATCCGAGTTTCTGATAACTATTCTGCATCATCTTTCAACTCCGTTTATTCTAATATAACTGATGAGGAGGTAGTACTTTGGATTGATATTGCACCGTCTGGAGTAGAAAACAAATATATCAGCTTTTGCAAACTTTTTCATTTACAACAAGCGTGTTTTTACAATGTAATCAAAAATTTCACTTTAGAACCCAATCAAACCATTGTCTACTACTATAACAATAAACATTTTACTTACCTCCCAAACGAATACATCCCACTTGCAAACGGTGTTGGTGTATGTAAAGAAAGTGACAAAAATATTGCTTTGACATGGAAAACTAAAGTTTTAAACGTTGCAAATATTATATCAAATATTGGGACATCAGTAAGTGTACTGTGTTATTTAACAATCATAATTGTTTACACGTACTTTAAAGAACTTAGAACATGGTCGAGTGTGACGTCAACAACTTTATGTATAAATTTTTTTTTTGCTGATTTTACATTTTTAATTTCAACACAAGTCAGCAAAAAAAGGTTATGGTGCGAGGTATTTTCCATACTTTTACATTGGTTTCTGTTGGTAGCTTACCATAGTCTCCTTATCTTAGCGCTTGACGTGGCTACAACGTTTGGTTCTTATAATCATCGATTTTCCAAACGGAAAAAGTTAATTCAATACTTTATTGTAATTTATGTTATACCATCAATATATTTATTTATAAATGTTACTTTGGAAAAAACCGGTATCGCGTATATTGGTTATGGAGATGGAGTGTGCTGGATGCAAGAATTTTACGCAAAGCTTTTTTCTTTTATAATTCCAATTGTGATTATCATTTTAACATCGTTATCGTGCTTGTTATTTACCGTTTATAAAATCACTTTGTCAGAGAAAAAAAGCAACGACGTATTTGGGGAAGGAAGAACATCTCGAGTTGATGTTGCAAGGGTAGCTTTAAAACTTACATTAATACTTGGAGTAATTGAGTTAATTGGTTTTGTTCAAATAAGTAAATCATCGTTGTCAGAAGGAGAGGAGACCTTTAATATCATTGTTGCAATTATATACATGGTTTTTAGATCTGCAAAAGGAATATTGTTGTTTGTTGCTTATATTTGCACGCCAAAAGTTCAAAAAATAATTACGTCAATTCGTTTCATTCAAATTAAAAGCAAAGGTAAGACTAACACAAGGCAAGAAAACTATTCTTCAACGGCTTTCAGCTCATTATCTCAATGATTTATTTGGATATTTTAAAATAAGTATTATTTTATTGATATAATTCTAAAAGTATATACTTACAACAGAGAAATAAATAAACGAGAAAAAATCATTTACTAAGTTACAAATATATACATTTATAAAATTTATACTATAACTTTCGTTTAGTTAAGTGTCAGTTTTTAAAAAGTTTTTATTTTAATTTAATTTTTGTAATAGCAAACACGTTTTAAATTTTACGACTTACGAAGAAATATTTTATTTTATTAGTGTTAGTAAGTTGTTTACATATCCTCTCGATGCGTTGTTTATAAATTGAAACTTTAAACTTAATTAAATTGGATTTAATTAAGTTTTTTATTTAATAAGAAATTTTTATTTTTAATAAAGAAATTGGATAAGCTTTAAAGTTAAAGTAAGAAGGATTGGCACATTCACGGATTGTGACTCTGCACTTTACATAAATATGATAAATATTTAATATTATGTGAAATTAGGGATGTTAGCAGGTACACAGGTACCCACCCGTTGCTTAATACATGGATAACATTATCAAATGCTACCCTTTATTCCAATTTACCCAAATGCTACCGTTATCTATACAAAAACAATATATATATATATATATATATATATATATATATATATATATATATATATATATATATATATATACAGATATATATATATATATATATATATATATATATATATATATATATATATGTATATATATATATATATATATATATATATATATATATATATATATATATATATATATTAGTTTGCAATTATTAATCGTAATATAATAACTTAAAAACATAAACTTGTTATGTGAACGAAAATCTTGAAGATCTTATGTGAAAGAAGATCTCAAAGATTTTGTCAAAATTTTAATAGTTACAAAATATTTATCATAGAATTTCGGAAAATATCAAGGAATATTCTCCTATCGAAATCAAGGAATATTCTTCTTATCAAAGAATTTCTCCAATCAAAATCAAGGAATATTCTCCTCCAATCAAAATCAAGGAATATTTTTCTTCAATCAAAATAAAGAAATATTCTCCTCTAATCAAAATCAAGGATTATTCTCCTCCAATCAAAATCAAGGAATATTCTTCTTTAATCAAATAAAAGGAATATTTACCGAAGATATTGTTAACTTAAACACTCTTTATTTCATTATTATGAATAAACAAAGGAGGCATATTCAACAAAGATTTTTTTTGAAACTGGGTAAAAGAGGATTCATTTAGTTTTTTCAATATTAATTGATAGTTTGTTTGACTTTAACCGTTATAAACTTTAATGAATTTGCTATTTATTTAGTTAAATAATGTTGGTTAGTCATGTCCTGCTAAAAAATGATTAATTTCATTGGCAAATATAATTGTTGATGTTTATTACAGATCGTATTAAACATCGTAAATATAATTTGATGTTTAATACAGACCGTTAATGTAAATTAAAATCATGTTGATTTTTAAGTGAATTTTTATTTATAATTAGATGGTTATAAATTAGCCAATCCCATAAATATTTTTCGACTACCAATTCTTATGTGGAGTGATTAATGAGTGGCGTAGAAGTCATAATTATATGAAAAAAAAAATATTTTTTATTTTTTCTTGATAGAGGTATTGTCGTCGATTGTTCGTAATTACGCTTTTTAATATTTTTGACTAAAATTAGAGCAATTTCCAAGCATTAGCGCGAATAGATTCTGATGTCAAATCCAGTTAATTTATTCAACGATATTTTCTTAATGTGTTCCTTTACCAGTAAAATACTGTCCTTAATAATTTAAGACACATGTTGTACTTATCTTCCACTGATTACGATATTTAAATTAATACTTTGGCTATTGTAAAATAATTTTTTGTCAATCTTTGAGCTTTTTTCCAGTCATACGACAAACTTTATGATCTTTATCTCATTTTGGTATCAAATGATGTTGTTTTTTTTAAATACTGTTACTGGAGCTTTAAATCAAACAAATTCCAATCCAAAATCGTTTTCTTAAAAGACTGGGTAAAGAACTTTTAATCTTTAGTTATTAACTAAACTAGATCAAAACGTATCAATGTAATTCAAAAATATATATACACATTTTTTTTGTTGTTATTTTAGGTGCTCCTAGAATAAGAGTTTTTAAGACTTGAACGGAATCCCACTAGAATAAGATTCTTTAAGAGTAACGGAATCCCACTCTTTCAGAGATAAATCGATAAGATTAATAGTCATTATAATCAATATGTTAGACACAGTTGAGCGACTTCTATATTTTCTTCTAAGCATAGCGTTGGAGTTATTGGAGCAGAATCGAATTAGTTTTTTTTTCTAAGTAGTTATTAGTATATCTAACATTATTTAAAATTTCTATTACTGAATATTAATGAATATTGTTTCTTCGTCTAGCTTTTCTAATTCAACAAGTTTAAAGAAAATTGTTGGTGGTGCTACTGAATCCTCATTTTTTGAATAAAGTATGATGACTGGTGCGCAAGATATTGTAGATGCGTCAATAATCAAACAGATATTCAATTTTTTTTCAATTGTTTTATAAAATATTTTTTTTTTAATATCCTTTACAATGAAATCTACTGTTTTGACTGAACTTTTAGGAGAGTGTAATCATATTCTCATGTCTAGTCCATTTTTCATCTGTAACTCAATCTCATCTTCTATATCTGAAAATGGTTTTCTTTTGGTCAGGTATCGAATACTCTACAAGTAGTCGTTAAATATTTTGTGTTCATTGTGTCTATTGCTTTTGATAAATAATCTTGCTTAAGTTGTTTTAAGTTCTCTATACAAATGTTGTGGGCTCTTGATGAAAATCATTTAGAACAAATGTGTTAAGTATTTACATTCAAAAAATGTCTGATTTATTAGAAAGTAAAAAGTCTTCATGTTTACAGCATTAAAATATTCAATAAATGGCCAAAAAGCTCAAAAAAAAAAACTAAAAAAAAAGCTCATACTTTATCTTTCTGTAAACAGTAAAGCGTTAAAATCTAAGTTGTTTTTACTCATAGCAATTTACTTCCATAGTTAATTTACTTCCATATACTCATAGCAATTTACATCCAGTTTTTACTTATAGCAATTTCCTTCCATAATTTCTTTTAGCTGTTTGAATAAAATACCAAAAAAAAACGTTTCAGCTTTTATATAATTCTTCCCCATAGTATTAAACTGAAACTTGAAACTCGTAGTTAATAAAATCCCCAATTATTTGAAAACAAAATAATACAAAGAATTGTTTAGAGTTTTTAAAAAAAATAACCAATCAGAACGCACACCAAATAAAACTGCATTTTTTGAAAACAAAAGAGCCTAAAAGCGATATTTTTCTTCCGATCTCTCCTAAACTACGTTGAGAGCATTCAGAAAGATTACTTTTAGTGTTAGAGTTGTTATTAGTTTTGTTCTCAATTATTGATGTGCTGCTTTCTTGAAGTTGAATTGGTTGTGATTGTAACGGATTTGTATCAGCCAATGCCATTTTGAAAAGAAAAGGTTCCTATTTTTTTTTAATTGATTTTAAGGGTAATTGTGCACAATTAAATACAATTACTTATTACTTAATGGTTAAATTTCCAAGTAAAAATGAAGAAGATATAAGCACAAGTCACGCAAAAACAAAATCAACGAATACATTACTGCAGTGGTATGAATAATTTTTACTGTCTACCACCTGGAAATCACAATTGATATGGTTTTATATAATAATAAATACGAAACCTACTAAATCAAACAAATGTAATTTAACTTCATCAAATGAGTATTGCACGTCATATAATGAATGAATGAAAATACGCTTTATTTCACAACAAATATTTTGGCTTCTTTTATAAAATAATTAGATAAATATGACTAGAAATATCATCTAGCAACCGGCGAACTACAAAACCTTTATGAAGCGATTCTACCAAGCCGGTACGAACCGACTGAATCCTACCACTGGTGACAAGTTTCCTTGGTGGCAATTGAACAATACGGCTAAACTATATTCTTGTAAATTAGAATTAGACTTTTTTTTACATTGATAGAAATAGAGTTAGACACTTTTTTACACGTGACTATTTTTTACACGTGACTATTTTTTACACGTGACTATTTTTTAAGCGTGACTATTTTTTACACGTGACTATTTTTTAAGCGTGACTGGCTTATCTCTAAAATCTTAAACTTAAGAATAGTGTTTGACATGTAAAACTAATATGCTTAAATTAAATTAATTAATTTGTTTAAATACTTTCATGACTTATTTTTAGTTTATGTATTTAGGTGTCATATGGTAAAAGAAAGTTTTCTAATTTTTTTAATGTTTAGAATTTTCTTCATAACTTTTTATTATGTCGTGAGAACGTATTATATTATAGGTGATTGAAATTATTATGAAGTTGTAAAAAGTAGTGTGTAAAAAGTAGTGAAATTTTAAAACATGATTATATATTGTTATTTAAAATAAAAGGTGTTTTATCAAGTGATATTAAAACTTTTCACATCCGTCAAATTAAAGAAATTTTTATGGAATTGTGATTAAACATTTAAAAAAATTAGAAACAAAAGCAAAATTTATGAAATGTTTAAATTATTGTAAAAAAGTTGTTAATGAAATGATATTTGAATAAAAACTTAATAAATACAATTGCGAAGCTATTGTACAAGAAGTCAATTTGTAAAACTTGCTAAATCCTAGTAAATTGATTTTGAGTAAAGGACAAAATAATAAACTACTAATAGTTGCATCAAGGGAAGCTAATATTTTCTTTGTCTATTTTCAGGACAAAAAATCTTTCAATTATTCTAACATTTAAATAAATTATAGATTTCCATATATAGAATGTGGAAATGGAATGAACTCAAAATTTTTATTTTTGTGTTTTAGCACGTTTTGCAGATGAGCTCCTTAAGTAGATGTAAATATAAATTATTAATCAACGACTTGATAACAAATAATAAAATAATTTTTATTATTTAAATAAAATAATAAAATAATTTTTGTTCTATATTTTAATATTTTCTCATTTTCAAATCAAAGGATAAACAAATTTATTTTGTATAAACTTAAATTACTTACCTCATAATAAATATTTATATTTATTTTTGTGCGAAAGAACTTGTGTGCGAAATGCCTAATTATTTAATTATATTAAATAAGATCCAGTTCCGCCCTGCCCATCAAGAACACCGTAAGTGTGAAAAGATTTTGAGATAATTGCCAAAAACTGTTTGGCCAAAAAGCATCTTAATATGTTTG